CCATATCGTCCAGCCCTAATTTATTATATGTATGCGAATACAATCTCTATGTGAACTCTTATTGTACATTTTGTGTTTTTGCTAATAGTCTTAACTGCCTGTTTGTTTCTGTTCATCTGTTTGTGTGGCAGAACACCCACATTGTCTGAAAGTGTGGAGGAGGATAAACCCCAACTGGAGGATGCCAGCACACGGCCACACTCTCCTCTCACCCAGGCCCACATCTCAGCTGATGAGAGCGAAGGAGAGGGGAATGATGACCCCGCAGTCTGGCACTCAACTCCATGGCATCCCAAACCAGCCGCGGTACAGCTAAACACTTTCACAGTGTCATCTAGTATTATGAAATAGCCAGGCAATAAGAGTTATAAAAGTGTGTTCTAGTATAAGTATAAGGCAAGCATCTCTATAATAGAGATATGAATAAACCCTTCGTAACTGCTTAGCAAAGTTGCATAGTTGTCAACTGAGCTTCAGACGTTACATGACATCGTCTGTTGTCTTTATATGACTGTGACTTCTCAAACAAACTTAATTGAATGAGTAAAAGAGAGTATTAGTGTTAATCTTTGGCCTTTCCGCTACAGCTTTGTTTATTTGGGAGTCATTCTCTGGGTCACGGTGTCTTCACTTTCGATCGACGGTTGCACCATCTGCGGTGTGCCATGAGTGCCATGATGGAGAATCACCTCAGCGCCCATCTGTGGAAGTAAGAACCGCTTGACTTAGATATGTCCTATCATAGATACAAACAGTGGGGTGATGATGTCAACAAAAAGCTTGAAAGCAGGCAGAGCTCTCACAAAACATGTCATGTGATTTTCATTGTTGTATAGTTTATAAGTATATATATTAAAGGGATAGTTCACGCAAAATATTCTGTCATTAATTACTCACCCCAGAGGTCACGTTAACCGAAATTTTCAGTTGGTGGCAAGTGCGCTCCAGTGTGGCAGCAGAGCGCGGGATCATCAGCCTACAGAACAAAAATAAAACTGTCACAAATCTTTTGCTATGCCTTTTGATTAAGCATAGGTGAGTAGTAAAGCGAAAGAGATGATCAGTTCAGTTGCCGCTTTGCTTTATCTGAGGTAGGGTTGCTCCGATTGATCGGCTACCGATCACTATCGACCAATAATCGCTTTGGGATGCTTGATCAGCGGTCTCTAAAAAGGCTGATCTCAAAAAACCGATCTCAAGCAACATGCAGCGTCACCGACTCAGTCTCTGTCTGGCACGGGTGAAATAATTATAATGCTAAAGGTGAGGTACTCACCTTCATATTTCTTCATTAAATAACTTATAAAGTAATTTGAAAACCTTGAGTGAGAGGTAATTTCACAAACGGCGTGAGTGAATCACCGCGCGCTCTCTTTCTCTCTCAAAATACGCAAATGGCTTCAAATCACCACACATCGCGTCTGTCCATAATATTAAAGCGTTCACACTGCACACGGCTGCGGTCCAGCAGTGCGCTCCAGGAGCGGTGCGTCTGCAGCAGAGCAGAGATAGTTATTTTTGCTGCGCATTGTTTGCAGTAAATATGAACATGGATTGACACGAAAATGTAGTAATTACACCATAAATGCATATTATTAAAGTCTACTGTGTTTCACAGTCAACACGTTTGGCTTTTTGGCTAGGTTTAAAGGGAAAGAGCACTTTTAGATAAACAAGGCAATAATAGATGGCACTCGTGCGTAGGAAAACAAAGTTCTTTATGAACAGCAAGATTGCTTGTAATAAAGATTTCAATGCAAAAGAAAAGGCAGTAGAGCTGACTATTTCTGTCAATGGTAAGTTTGTGATAACGTAAGAAAAGTAGTTTAAATGTTTTGCCACTTGCTTGAGCAACTTAATATATAAATCTAGAAGTAAATGCAAAAGTAAAAAGCATTGAATGATGTGTTATATTTATTGTGTTTAAACGTCTGTTTGTGGTAAACAGCCGCGGATCAGCAGCGGACTCCTGTGTGAAAGCACAGTCCGTGCTGCTTCCCCTCTCACAAGAGACACCTAAGAGGGGAATTTCCCCCATTTTCAAAAATGAAATTCAGGCCCTGAATAAATGTCTAAAAATCCTGATTGGAGTATCACTATAAATAGTTATAAATGATTAAAAGAAGGCTTTAAAAAGATCGGTATTGGTGATTGGTATCGGCAGATACTGCTTTCTGTGATCGGTGATCGGCCTCAAAAACCCTGATCGGAGCATCCCTAATCTGAGGTGTCTACAGCGATCTATCACGCCACATTGAAGAGCGTCAAAATGGTATTTATTGCTTGAATTTACTAATAAAATGGACAGAATTTGAAATCTGAGACTTTTGTTTCATATCAAAAGTAACAATGCACAAAGCTTAGCCTATTGCGATTTTATTGGATGGGAGGAGCACTACATGGACGGTTCATTCATCAACTGAAAACAGAATCGATTGGGATTTAAAAATCGATGTTGGTTCATAAAAATGAGGATCTATTAAAATCAAGAAATCCTTTTTAAAATTTTTTTTTTTTATATTATATATACCCGGCCCTATAGCATATTTCATTGTTTTTAGTGGCCTCTGCTGTCACTGCGGGTTGAACATGAAAAGTGACGCACAGTATCTGTTCTCTTCATAAATAAATAAATGCATAAGCCTATGCTCGTCCTGTAGGTTAATTATTAAAAATGAAAGTGTGAACAAAAATACAAGCAATTAAATGTTATTATCATTAAAATATGAAAATTAAAATGATGGGTGATAATAGATTATGATGGAATTCTTACAACCCTGTCCGTCAAAATGATGGACAATGTTAAAAGTCTAACGTAACCTCTGACTCACCCTCATGTCGTTTTAAACCCGTAAGACCTTCGTTCATCTTCAGAACACAAATGAAGATATTATTGATGAAATCCAAGAGCTTTCTGAGTCTGACCCTTCATAGACAGCAACACAACTATCACATTCAAGGCCCAGAAAGGTAGTAAGGACATTATTAAAATAGTCCATGTGACATAGGAGATTTCACTTTTTTCTTTTTTTTTTTTTTAAACAAAGCTACAGTAATAATTTTTGTGCTCAAAGATGTCACATTGAATATTTTAACGACATGAGGGTGAGTAATTAATGATTTTTTTTTTGACAGATCTATCCCTTATAAGATTGCATTATTGTAATGAAAAAAATATTTAAATATATAATAGTAAAATTATTTAAAACCTGTACAGGAAATTCAAGTAAAACAGTAGATGCATTGCAGTAATATGAATTTGGGGGAATGTGTTTTTTTTTTTTTTTTTTTTTTTTTTTTTTTTTAAAAAAAAAAAGGGAAAAAAAAAAAAAAAATATTTTTAAAAAAAAAAAAAATATTTTTTAATGTCAATCTTCAAA